CGTGCTCCTGTACACGTCCCTGGTTTCGCCCCCCCTAAGAAAATACCTTGGCGCCGCCCCTGCTCAAACATGGTGGACAATGGTGGACATGGCTTCAACAAGAATTATAATTTGCTTGATTTGTCTATTCCATATTGGTCATCTATTCCTACATGTAAGTTAGGTTACACAGTTGTGTATAAAGAGACTAATACAACAGGCAAGGTAGGCATTCCGATATGGAATCTTTGGTTAGAAGTGATTACTGTCATGGTTTGTGTCCAGTTATCTAATCAGTAAGTTCAACTGGGCACAACAGTGCTCTCGATATATGTATGGCCTGTTCCCATACATTTTAGCATTAAGTCCCACTAGTCGTTGCTGTCAACGTTGTTGCTACATCCGCTCTCGCATTTGCAGAGCATCGTGCACCTGACACCGGCGCGATTGCACTTGCACCTTCCTGTGCATGACTTGAGGCAGCTGCAGTGCAGCAGAAGGGTGCATGCTTCTGAAGCATCACGGAGTGTAGTCCATAGCAGCTGTCAAGCACCCGTATCATCTTTTTGCCAGCCCCACTCACTGAAGTCGGGAATTCGTTGCTGCTCTGTGGTAGACCGATTCCAGTAGAAGCTGGCCTGAAGTAGCGCTCGTTTGACATGCTGGAACAGTGCTGCTTGTGTAGGTGGGAGGTTCTCCAACATTCTGCTTCCAGTGGTGAATAGGCGATGCCAGTAGTCAGTAGTCTTGTACATTATATGTCAGTAGTAAGTCTTGTACATACGTATATATATATTGAGCAGTCTCTAGTACCTGTGTGCACTGCTAGCATTTCGCAGATTGGCTCGGAGCTATTTGATATCTGTAGCTAGTCTGCTTATGGTAAGATGACCTGAGGCACGTTATACGTGTGTTATCGAGAGACAGAACTTGATATTGTTATTATTATTAGATAACAGTTTTCATGTGTGTGCGTGAGGAAGTTTACGTATGTGATTCCAAAATTATCTAACCTGCCAATCAAACAAAATCAAAAATTATTATAGTGATTGTGTTACGTAACACCCTAAATAAAGATGGCCACTGCACACCCAAAACTGAAAGAATTTTCGGGCGAGTCCAGCGAGGATTTTACCTTGTGGTTCAAGCGATTTGAACTATTTGTGCCGATAGCACCGCCTGATGCTGCCCCTGCAGTCCCCCGACGCCATCTTGTCCTTCCCCTATATTTAGCGGGTAGGGCTTTTATGACCTACGACAGTCTGCCAGCAGAGACCAAGCTCGACCACCTTCTGGGTGAAATCACCAGTCTGAGGGATGACGTCCAGAAACTGTGTGAACAAGTACAGTTCCTGATGAGGAACCCAAACTCTGGCCATGGACGTACCCGCGGACGCGGCGGTTGAGGAAATCGCCATGGACCGAGCCAAGGTCGTGGTCAAAAGCAAGGTCAGAGATGGAGAAGGTTTGAATGATCAACGAGTGCAACCAGGCAAGTCTGTGCAAGTTTTGCAACCATGGGG